TCTCCCTTTCTCTCTGAAATCAATAAAAATATATTTTTAAAAAAATAAAAATAAAAATGTAAAAAGCGATGGACACCAGAAACCAGAAATATATTCGGGATTTCGGATGTTCACGGTTCAAAGTGTGGCCCGAGGACCAGGCCCCTGCTCAGGAGCTTGTTAGAAACCCAGTCTCGGCCCCACCCAGAGCTGCTGACTCCGAATCTGCATTTAAAGATCTCAGGATGGTCCGTGTGCTTTTACACGGGGAGAAGCGCCCTGTAGGCGTGACAGCTCCCAAGTTTTATGCCTTTTTCTCCTGCAGAAGGAAAGTCCACGCCAAAACGCAGTCTTAGTCCCAATTCTTAATTCCAGGGCAAGCGGGTCTGATTGGCCTGTCAGGTGTCTGCTGGGACAGGAAGGTCTGAGCGTACAGGTCGCTGCTCACATCCCCGTTTTACTGGCAAAAGAACTGAAGAGCAGCGATGTGGTTCGGTCAAGACCCCATAGCTAGTGAGTGGTGGGGACAGAGGTTGGTCCCAGGTCAGCCTGGCGTTTACACGCACAGCACATACACACTCACAACACCAAACTGCACACAGACACTCAAAGCAGCCCCTCCGTGATCAAGGCCACCTGAAGGCTTTCCCTGTGGGACCTGCAGGTCCCATGGCAAGAAGCCGAGTGTGGGGGAGGGATGAAAGGGGGGGGGCTGATAAAGCCATCCAGGAGGTTCCAACAAGACTGGGTAACGTGGCTGTTGGATTCCAGACACCTGCAACAGAAGACGATTAATAATCACACGCTTCTGTGTTCTGTATTGAAATGTCACCTCCTCACTGAGGCCTTCTGGGATTACCTTACTTAAAGTCGCATGCCCCCAGCACTTCCTGTCCCACTTCCCTGCTGTATTTGTCTTCATAGCATTGAGCTGTAGAGTATTTATTTACTTTTTTTTTTTTTGCTTGCACACTCACAACTAGAGTGCCAACTCCACAAAGGCAGGGGTTTTGCCTCTGGCTCACTGATGTGTTTCCATGCCTGGCACACAGTAGGTGCTTCATAAATTTTTGCTAAATAAATCAGTGAAGAATGGCAATAGCAGTAACAGTTTCACAGGCTTGATCTCTAATCCTCCCAACAGCCCGAGGAGATAAGGAATGGGAATCGCCCTATTTTTCAGGTGAGGAAACCGAGACTCAAGAAGATAAGACTTAGGAGCCCAAGCCCTTGAACAAACCCTTTCCCGGCCAGGAGACATCTGTTTGGGGTGACTCACATGTTATGTGTGAGCAGCCCTGCCTCTGAAATGATCCCTGCAGTTGGGTGCCTGGCCCTTTGCTTCCTGCCGTCTCCCCAACAAAACAGAGGCAGAAAGGGCAAATGGGGCTGCATCAAACTTCTGCGCATCAAAGGCAACAACAGACTGGAAAGGCAACCTGCAGAATGGGAGAAAGTGTTTGCAAGCCACACCTCCGAGACCTGGTTAATATCCACATTCCTCCCGCGAGCCCCCTCTGCTGTGACTTCCCATGAAATCCTGGGCTCACAGGAGAGGGGCCGCGGGAGGTCAGGAGCCGAAGCCCCGCCCATCTCCCGGGAGTCACGCTCAGCTCAGAGGACAGGGGCCCTGCATTCACCTCCTGGGACTGAGGACTGAGCTGGCCTGTGGGGGACCTGGCCACTCCCATAACCCAGCCCCCACCTACCACACACACCTGCCAGCCTTCTTTTGGTGCAGAAAGCTGTGGAGCAGAAAGTTGGGAGGTCATGAGAACATAACCAGCCATCCTAGTTGGCACTGTAAACCCTATGTCCTGGGTGACCCCCGGGCCCCCGGCAAACAGAGACGTTGGTCTCCTTGGGTCTTGGTCAAACTCCCTTTGAGAATCCAGGGCCATTGCCCAGTTCTGTTCACCTGTAGACGCGAGCACGGCCACATCCTGGCTTCTGCTTCTCTCGTTAACTTTTGCAACAAAAAAGTTATGAGGGGTACGTAGTGACTATCTCTACTTACAAGGGAGGAAACGGAGGCTCACACAGCTGGCCTGAGGTCTTCCATAGCAAACAGCTGGACCTGGACCTTACACATCAGCTAAAGCTACAGTGTAAGGTCCCCGACAGGGAGGTGCGCCTTAGAATTAACGAGATTGCTGTCGGCCGACAGGCAGTCCCAAACGAGGTGCTCTCAGGACCCGTGAACTAACTTGAGCCTATGGAGCACGTTTTGGTCACTTCGGCAAAGTCGTGAACCTTTTCTGGAACTACGCACATCGAGTTCCATTGCTGGTTAGAACGCCTCCCAGATGCTGCGTGATGATTCAGGTTGAAGATGAAGAGTAACTGTTCCCAGAGATACCTGGAAACAATCGCAGGGGCTCCTCCTAGTGATGAAGCACATGTCTGCGTTGGAGGAACAGCCCTTTTGTCCCTGAGACGCAGCAACAAGAAGGGTGGGTGGCCTCCCCTGGGCAAAGCGGGGCTAACTTCCTGCTGGAACGCACGGAAAAGGGCCACCTGCGCCGTGGTGCTCAGGCTCAGACTCACCTGGGCAGATGGTTAGAACGCGGAGCGCTGGGTCCACCCCAGAGTTTCTGATTCCGTAGGCTGGGGTGGGGCTCAAGAATTTGCCTTTGTAGCAAGTTCCTAGGTAGGTCAGTGCTGCTGGCTGAGGTCCAAACAGAGCAAAGGAAGCTGGAGCCAAGAGCCAAAGCCCACGGAGTAGATGGGACACGTCAGGAGAGGCAGGTGCGGTCGATGGACACATCTGAGAGACTTGGCATGAAGGCAGGACATCCGCCTGCAGGATGGTTTGGCCAACTTTGAGCCAAAGCCACTTCACTCCCTCTGCATGTGTCAGTTGAGGACAACGGAAGCCAGTTCCAGCATGACAGCAGGGCTGAATCTGGCATGTCCCCAAACCTGAACGGGATACATTAAATCAGTGGTTCTCAACCTTCCTAATGC